ACTCCCATTTTTATGATATCCGTAAATGTTATATTATAAAGTTATTATTATTATTATTATTATGTTATTTTTTATTATCCGTGAATGTTAGCAACTGGACAAATTGAATGCAGCGGTCAAGGAAAAGCGACCAGAATTGGTCAATCGTAAAGGTGTCATTTTCCAGCAGGACAATGCTAGGCCGCACACGTCTTTGTCCACTCGGCAAAAATTGATGGATATTGGTTGGGAATTGATGTTACACCCACCATATAGCCCTGATCTCGCGCCATCGGATTACCACTTATTTCGATTCCTGGACAACTCCCTTCGTGGTAAAACTTTTAACGATGATGACGCTGTAAAATCTCACTTAACTCAGTTTTTGGCTGAAAAGGATCAGACTTTCTACGAGCGTGGAATTTTCAAGTTGTCAGAGAGATGGCAAAAGGTCATCGAACAAAATGGAAAATACATTACAGATTAAACTTCGTTCCAAGTAAAAAAATTTTTTATTTCATTGAACAAATCGGCAATTACTTAGTTTCCAACCCAATAGTTCCGTGCTTGATGCGGATAGAATAGACGACACTCCTGCGAAATAAAGCGAAATTTTCACTATTTTCTTCGAATATTCTATGTTCGGTACAATAAAACAAAAACAGGTGTGAACCGAGGGCGACCGATCTTTTTTTTTCGATCCACGATGTGTCATTCAGTCCCGCGCTTGACTTCAACGATGTTGGCGTTGTAATATTCCTCGACAATCCTCGATCATCCAATGTTGGCTGGCTTATATCGTCGGCAAGCGTCCTAAAAATTTCCCGTGTCTCCCGATACTTCGATGCGGTTGCAGGCAATAACATGTCTTCGCCCCTAACCTGTAAGAAGCGAGCAAACAGCGTTAGTTTCACAAAGATGATCGACGCGAATCAAATCAGCAATAAAGTGAACAGGTAAGCGACTGTGCTTCGAATTAGAGGCTGTGCCTTCGAGAGCTCCAACGATCGAAGGTCCCATAAAACGACATAACCTTAACACTTCCACGACCGCGCCTAGGAACCTCAAAAATTTTCATAAAATTAAAATATTTCATTCGATCAAACAAAAATTATGAAGCGGACTTATAATGGCATCGATTACTTCTTCAGCATTCGTACCACTTGCAAATCGTAATAAAACTAAGCAATCATTTCTAATTTTTCATTAATTATTCTGTATATTCTATATATATTATTCTATATATATTCTATATATATATATATACCGCGATTATATATATTATATTATTCTNTATATATATATATATATATATTGTATATTATTATTATTATATATATACATATTATTGGTAAATTATTGTCAAATTAATTTTCCCAAATTTTCTCTAATTTTCCTTCGGCTTGTAAACAGAAATGGACGATTCGGGGAAAAGAATTATTCGAGCCTTACTCCTTGTTTTTATAGTTGTTGACAATCGGTAACTATAAATATGAGCCTTGAATACAGTAATTTCTCCCGAATTCGCGCTCAGATTACGCACAAAAATGGACAATTTGGGAAGAGGTTTTTTTTATAGTTAAGCCTTGCGACTTGNCAATTTGGGAAGAGGTTTTTTTTATAGTTAAGATTAACACTATGCCGTCCGCGATAATATTATTATAGTTAAGAAAACACTACGCACCACGCTGGTGCCATGCAAAAACTTTGGTGGCATTTTAAAAAACTGAAATAACATTTGAACTATATTTCTCGGGTGTTAAAAGGCAGCAAACTAACTATAACATTGTGCCTATTTAACTAAGAATTAAGTACGACAATTCTTGAATGACATATCCTAATTTTAGGAATTTATATTACCGCCATCTTCGAAATTTGTTAAAAATCTAACATTTCCAAGCTATTACGCCGGCGTCAAACAAAAGAATCATATCTAAGATCTGCGGACGGCATAGTGTTAACTACTATTGGGCTGGCAACTAAGTAATTGCCGATTTGTTCGATGAAATAAAAAATTTTTTTACTTGGAACGAAGTTTAATCTGTAATGTATTTTCCATTTTGTTCGATGAGCTTTCGCCATCTCTCTGACAACTTGAAAATTCCACGCTCGTAGAAAGTCTGATCCTTTTCGGCCAAAAACTGAGTTAAGTGAGATTTTACAGCGTCATCATCGTTAAAAGTTTTACCACGAAGGGAGTTGTCCAGGGATCGAAATAAGTGGTAATCCAATGGCGCGAGATCAGGGCTATATGGTGGGTGTAACATCAATTCCCAACCAATATCCATCAATTTTTGCCGAGTGGACAAAGACGTGTGCGGCCTAGCATTGTCCTGCTG